GAAGAGCGGGCGCTCGCACGAGTTTCGGGGGTCGTGCGAATTTTCTCTGTCCGCCAATCGCGCGACTCCCTTCCACGACGCCGAGGTGGTATTGGGCGGCCCCGATCAGTGCTACCAAATATCAAACTTAACGACACTACGCAGGAAAGTCCTAGTTGGATACTATAGGCTGTTATATATGAAATATCTAAATGCAGTGATATAATATAAAAATATTTTGATAATGAAATAATTAATGTATATATATTATGTATATATTGCTTAATATATAACATAATAGTATATCATTGTCGAGTTTTAATTCTTTAAAATGTTTATATTATCTTTTTATATTTAGGTAATTTCATGTGTAGCAGCCTTTAGTATGCATTAGCGAGTGATCGAATTCGCTATAATTTTTATTGTCACTAGCACCCAGAACAGAAATCCATACAAAAGAAGAGTTGGCAACATTGTTTTTAGTGTTACACTCACCGTTGCGAACACAGGTTAGAGAAATATGACTTCTCTTTCAATTTATTTAAATATTATCATACAGTGAGAGAAATCATATGTACAATTGTTTCACATTAAAGCTACATATTCTTTGCCTTTCAATTAATCTAATTATTATAAATATAGCTATATTTCTATATATAACATGCGTTTTGCTCCAAATTTTAAGCAGATGAATCCTGTATTACGATTGAGCCAATTCATTGCTAAAAGTCGACTCTATCCTCAACGAAATTTGTCGATACAAAAGGACGACAAAAATCGGACTGATGTTGCAAAGGATATTCCGATGGATGATTTGACAGAACCGACCAATTGCTGTATGTCGGGATGTGCGAATTGCGTATGGATTCAATATGCGGAGCGATTGAGTAGCGCAATAGAAGCAGTCAATGTGGATTTACAGAAGGCCATCTTGGAGAAAGTACAGGATCCTAACATGAGGGCGTTTCTTATGATGGAGCTGAGATGCCGAAAGTTGATAAAGTAGTGCGAGCACATCATTATTGATCATAATAGTAGTAACAAAAAATTTACCTCTGCACTAAAATTCAATTCTATTGGCCGAAGAATTTACAGATTAAAGTAAAGTGCAGTTGAGTTCGAAATATTTTGTATAGATTCAAATTTTATTGAATGATAAAGAATGTTTTCAATTGTATGTAAATATATGTAATATAATGTATTATAATATAATTGCGCGATATTATTAGTATATCGATATGTATATATAATTAAATAAATAAATAAAATAATAAAATGAAAAAAACATGAATAAAAATGAAATAATTAAAATAGATTAATATAAGATATAATAAAAGATAAAGATATAATTAATCGAAATGATAATTAATATAAGAACATTTTTAATTATAAGAGACCGCCGATTAAGTTATAAGGAAAAGTTACTCAGGATTATGTCCTTGACAACATATGTCAAGGTCAACATCATTGGAGCTGGGTCAGTTATAGTAAATAATTACCAAAAGTATTAGTATATTAAATATTTTAAAAACATTTAAAAAAATATATATAAATTTTCTTTTAATGATACATTTATACCTCTTGAAATGAATTTTCTTCTATTTTTCTTTTTTAAGCGTACGGCTAACACTTAAGATCGATGCCAATGGCATACGTCCTTCTAATTTTGTAATATCTTTAAAACTTTGTACTATAAAATAAGGCGGATCAACTGTAAAAATTATTACATCATTATTATAAAAATTAAAAGAAATGTATAATATGTATAATATGTTCATATAAAATTATATATACATATAAATATATATAAAGTAATATATAAGTTAATTAGTCGAGTATCCCAAATAACAGAAAAGTAGGTTTAATTTTCTTACATATAATTACTTTCGTCAATTTTCAAATTTCAATGGCGCTAACTTTCATTTTCTGAACATTTTGAACTTTCTAACTGCGCGCGCGCGTTACTTTTCAATTATTATCATATGCGCAACTTAATAACAGCAATAAAAATATAAATCAATAAAGAGATTGTTTTGTTTCTTATAAAATAACAAATTTTTGCTAGGGTAAATCTTTACATAAAAATTGCGCGTCAATTTCGACTTGTTGTTAAGAGTATACTTATAAAATCAGAGTTGATAAAACCGCGCCGCAATCTTATCTGCTTCGCGCCACAATATGGCTACACGTCACATCACGTCCTTCTTTCGCGATGACGTGCATGTCTTGCCCGTGTGCATGCTCACGCTCACGCTCGCCCACGCGCACTCTTACGATTTATTTTCGCTTAGCGGATTCTCGTGGCGATCATACTTTGCCGCAATCTCGGCAAAGAGTCACGATCGAGCGCGCAAAATGACGGCTGTCGATTCCGAAGAAACTATAGATCAATAGTTTTCGTGGATTTTTGATAAAATTTGCGAATTTATACGTGTATATTGTATATTGGAAGTGTTAAAAAAAGGAATCTTAGTTACAATTAAATATGGCATTCCGACAATATGATCTTCCGTGACGTGTTGAATGAGTTTGTGTTTTAAGTGATGAATCCGCGATCGTGAAATACACACAAGATCGGATTGATAAAATGCTTATTCAGCATATAAAAAAGGTTGATTAATTATTATAATATATATGATATCAAAAAATTACATTGTTGAATAAGTTAAATTAAGGAAGAATAAGTGTTAATTAAAAAATTAAAAATACAAATAAAATAAATAAATTATAAGTAAAAAATTATAAATCAAAATAAATAAATAAATATATATATCATATTTATTACGCAATAAAAACAAAGGATAAAAAAATTAAAGTAGAAAATCGAGGATTGTATATATATATAGAAATACACGCGAACAGGTGTTTCCAAGTAAAATATCCAAGTATGATGTTCACAAACACATCCTATAAAGTATTATAAATCTTCGAATTTGTGTTTGAAATTTTCCAGGATGATAAAACAAATCTACCATTAATTCATCGGCAAATCAAATAAATCTTAGCATGGAAAACATCTTATTTTCAAACTTCATATATTCAATATTAAAAGATATTTAACACATTAGAATACCTCTCATTAAAATTTAAAGTATACCATTATATTTTTAATTACATATAATTTAGGATGTATTAAAATTCTAATATAAAAAATAATTTTATTTATATTAAA